CAACGTGTCGCATAAACTATACAAAAATGAGCTCTCGAAGTTGGGAGAAACGAAATTATTTTTTGGACGGTACGACGAAGAAACGTTTATATATATATACATTTATTTATTATATATATATATATATATATATATATATATATGTATATATACATATACGTTATGTATGTATGTATATAACGAAACATTACCATACAATTATCAAAAAAATTTCTTTTGTGTTCCACACAAATTTAAATCGCTTGTAATTTCTCTGATGTGTTTAACATTGATCAACGGAAGTGGAGAATTTTTTTCTCTCTCTCTCTCTTTCTCTCTCTCTCTCTCTTTCTCTCTTTATCTTTCTTTCTTTCTTTCATTCACATTCATTCTATCTTTTACAGACAACACACGAAAAATTTTTCATTGCGAAAACGCATAAAGGTCTTGTGCACTTTTCTTCTGCAATATTCTTCTTTCTTTTCTTTTCTATTTTTCTTTTTCCTTCTTTTTTTTTTTTCTTTTTTCTTTTTTCTTCTCTTTGGAGAACCTCCAAGGCGACACGTTCCGACTTTTTTTTTTTCTTTTTTTTTTGGTTAATTACACATACTTCTTTCTCTAGACCATGACTATTAAATCATTTATAATCGAAAGACACGTGGGTGTGTGCCTTGTTTACACGTAAGTCTTTTTCATCTCGTCGTTAATATTCATATTCCAAATTTCGTAGAGATCTGTAAATTGAAATTGAAATTGAAATTGAAATTGAAATTGAAATTGAAATTGAAATTGAAATTAAAATTAAAAAGGAACTAATAATTATTACAATAATAATTTATTATTTCATAGTAGACTTCTGAATGCGTTACAATACAATTAAATATATGTACTTATGATTTACATTTAAACTCAACAATCGTATATAGAAATCAACTATGAAATTATTAACAATAATAAGTATTGTATTAAAAATAAATAAAAGATTATATATATATATATATAAATATATATACATATATATCTCGTTGGTTTGTGTGACTAATTGTATCTAATTTCGTACATATATCGAACGAGGTACTGGGGAGTGACGGTTACTTGAGCCGTTGCGTAACATTTGCCAAGGCAACAGCAAAAGCTTGCAATGCACTGAAAGGGTATTGAAAATCCAACGTGTAGGCATTTCCATCTATCCGGCCAAATTGCATCACCTATGGTATCATGAAAAATAAAAGAAAATTATTTCGTATTATAAATAAATTTGTTAATATAAATTAATTAAATGTAACAAATAATTTCTCTCTATGTATATATACGTATATATATATATATATATATATATATATATATGTGTGTGTGTGTGTGTGTGTGTGTATAATATTTAAAAACTTGCCTGTTTCCCTCTAAATTCAATTTGAAAATTCTTAGCACTTTCTTGTGTTACTCTACCACCAAAATCAAGCTGATAAACCTGACTAGCTTCGTTCCACATTGGTGCTTTATTGTGCATCACAAGTTCCCGTCTAGTTGTCTCCTGTTTATTATGACCATTAGACATTCCAGCACCCCTTTGTTTTAACTAAAATAATATAAAAATAATAGATATATGTGTGTGTGTATGGCCATATGTGTTCGTTTATTCATAACGATACTCTCTTTTATATATTAACGATTTGAATTATTTAGAATATTTTTTCTAACTTTCTGACGTAGCTGTGCTTTCTGAAAGGTTTCCAAGTCGCGATAATTCGATGACGAGTCGTCCTGTATTAATCCTTCCTCATCGGAACTCTCGCCACGACTTTTTCGCGTTCGCCTGTTTAACAAAGGACTCGATAATAGTCTCCTTCTGATTGGCGAAGCCGAAGCTGGTCTTTTTCCTTTCTTCGAGGGTGCCGGACTGCTTGGTGAACTTCTTGGCAGTCTACAACTTTCAATTTATTTATTTATTTTTTTATTTCACGTTATTAAATCTAATTTTTTAAATAATTTTTTTTTCTTTTTTTTTTTTCATTACATAGAATAGGTAACATAGAATACCTTGAGGATGGACGAGGTGATGGGGGTGGTAAGGAATGACTCTCATCGAAATCTTTGAGTCTTGCGGCAAGACCGTCCAATGATGATGCCAAAGAACCACTTGGACTGGAACCCCTAAAAATTAATATTTAACATAAATATGTTATCAATATTGTATATATGCTTATGACGATTAATTAATTAATTCTTTTGTTTAATTTTAATTTTTGTAGTTTTTCTTTTTTTTTTATTCTTTTTTTATTTTTTTTTTTTTGTTTGTTTCTAATAGTCACCTAACAGGAGACACACAAGTTTCCAATCGACATGGTTTCTCAACGTAAGTTTCATCGTTACCATGAAGTATCTTTTTTTGACGTTCCATCACGGTATCGTTGTTAATCTCCCCTAATACTACTATATTCAAATCACTGCACTTCTCCTCCGTTACAATTTCAGAATTATTAACAACGTTCGATGCTTCCTCAAGGTGTTCAGGCAATTGAGGAGGTGTAGTTATAAGTTCGTTACTAGGGAATATATCACTGGAGTCTAAACTCTTCGATTTACCACAATTACGAAGTCTCGGTGGTTTACTATTTTGTTGTCCAATGTCATGCTGTGGTCTATTCTTTTTCCTTCTTTTTGTTTTTCTCGAAACCAATACCAATCTCTTGTTAGGCGCTTCCTTTCTCAACATTTTCAAGGCAACATCGCAAGGAACCAACTGATGAACGTCTACCAGATCTAAATATCCAACGCTACAACTTCTTACTATCGAATCATTTGAACAAAGTGGACCAATACTAACGACCGTTGGTGTCCTATGAACACCACGAAATTGTTCAATGTCCGCCTCGGCTTTACTCTCTTCGTCGATAAAACGAAGCTCTTCTGTCTTTCCGTTCGATTGATTAGAAACATTGATTTTTCCATAACTACCCTGAGATTTCATTTCCTTTTGTTGTTTCAAATTACACGGCGAACATGAAGTCGATTGTTCGTGATCAGAATTATCTGATAATTGATAGGAACACGTAGACGGAAGTAATAAACTGGACGAACCGTTTGAGCCATTATTATGTTTTGAAAATGGATTTAAATTACTTTGCGATGGGCTTATGCTCAAGTTAGTCCCATTATTTTGATTGTTCCTTGGATGTAAGAAACCGTGGCAGCTTTGTTGCACGTTGTTCGAGTGATTTGAGTTTAGGACGTTACTCGAACATGACGTCATGATGTTCAAGCCATTCATATAAATCATTTGTGATTGGGAACAATCGTTACCACCATCCAAATTATTTAATATGGAATTTTGCGAGCTCGATGCTTCGGCTAATGGTACCTGGCCGTTATGCATGGACGTTGGAATGATGTTGGACGAACCAGAATTTAGGCTAGATTTGTCCTCTTGAGATATCTGATTGAACTTATTATTTTCGAGTTCCTTTTTCGTAACCATACCGGTATTTTGTTGATCGGCCAATGCCGTTTTAACTCTTTGAATATTACTCGAATAATCTGTACCTGTATTCGACGTAGCTATTAAAGTTTGTGTCGGCGCGACTGCATTTTTAGGCGATTGCAAAGCTGGAACGTCGCAACATCTAGGTGGATTGTGCCTAGGTGGTGTACGATAAGTATTCGTAGGTGCGCTTCTTATGTTCTCATACAAATTCGTCATCTCTTGAAGATCTACATATGGGAATTCGTTTTCATAATTTTCGACGCGTGCCAAAGAGGCAGGTAAGGCTTCTGTGGTTAAAAATTGATTTGAGATTTGTGACTTTGGACGATTTGGATTCAGTCGTGCGTTTCGCGGCGTCATAGGAGCTATCGGAGGTGGCTGAGTCTCCGACGTTGCTCTAGAAGTTCCCTGAAGATCCTGAAATGTTTCCTCCTCGTCTTCGGAAAATAAATTAGGGTTGAAACTTGGATCTGGACCTGTAAAGGAATAAAAACTTTTGATATTATTCGATATCATACAGAAGATGAATGTATGAAAGTTAGAAAAAATGATAAAAGTGGGAAATATTAATGACCTGCAGGTAAATCATCTCTCAATTCCGTCATCACCAATGTCATTTGCCTTGGTTGCAAATGTAACAATGATGTTCGATAAGTAACTTGACCTAAGTTAGCTGGTACAGAATCTGCCAAGCCGTGGAATTTAAATTTCGTGCCCCAAATATTTGACGTTACTTCGACCAATCTAGCGTGCTGCAAACAAATAGATTCTGTTAGGAAAGGATCATGATTCCACTCCTAAACCTAAAATACTCGTTAAGATTTATCCTACGTCACGCGATTCCTAATATATACATGCATACATACATATATATATATATATATATATATATATATATATATATATATATATATATATATATCGATCGAGTAAGTAATTCAACTGATAAGCATTGAAAATTTTAAAGGTATCCTCTACCTCGGGCAAAGTGTCGACGTAAGTGAGATCATCAGTTTCCTCTGAGCCCTTTTCTTCCTTCTTTCTTCTATTTTTTCGACGATTTCTTGGGGAACCACATAAATCTGCGGTATCTCTTTCTGTATCAGAACCATCACTGAAGGAAGGACATTGTGATACATCGTCGAATAATTGTAAAGTGTCTTGACTCTGGGGATCGAATATTACAAACTCTGGCCTGATTTTACTGGTTCTTCGACCTTTTAATAATGGTACCAAACCACCTAAATATTCTAAATATAATGTATAACAAGGTATAGGTTCTACGGCATGTCTAAGCATTGTACAATGTAATCTTCCACTTCCAGCTGGTGGCCTGGATACAAAACGTCTTAATTCTCTTGGCTCTGGTACTGGACACCTAATGGAAAAGAAACAAAAAGAAAAAAAAAAAACCAAAAGAAAAGAAAAAGAAAAGAAAAAGAAAAGGAAAACGGAGGGAAAAAAAAACTATTTCAATCAAAAATTGTCAAATATTATTATTATATTTAATATTGCTTACCGTATCGTACTAGCAAACAATGCAGCTACCGATGCTCTTAATCTAGATGGTAACGGAAGTTGTTGGACACTGGATTCTCTTGTGAGGGCTGCCCTCACTGCTAATCTAGATAGCAACTGCAATGAACCGACCCTCCTATGACGTAGAAATTTCATTTAGAATTAAATAACGTACTTAATTATTGTCCATTGTTACAAGAGAATCTTATGTTACGATACAATACGATACGATAATGTTCACATACAACTTTTATGTTATATTCGTGATAGAGATTATATATGCTCTATTAATAAAATTTTATACCTTTTATATAGAGCACAATTAATATATACTTTACATATTATATATATATATATATATATATATATATATATATATATATACATATTATATATTAGGTCAATCCAAAAGTTCGTGCGCATTAGTAGCATGTATGTATGTAGCAAAATGCGCACGAACTTTTGAACTGACCTGATATATATATATATATGTAAAATATTAACAGAATTATAAAAATTATTTATAATGATTTTATATATCGATTATAAAGCGAGTAATTGTTATTATTTATCCAAGATGATGATTATAACCAATAATGAAATGAAGAAATAAAAAATAAGAAAAGCACATACATAAATCGTATTATATATCACCTGGAGACCCATGCCGCATGTACTCTTGCACCAGTGGCTACGAAGAGTCTTCTGTCATTATGACCCCAGGTTAACGCCGATACAGGGCACTGGAAGATAACGAAACTCGTAAATCAACGTCAGGACGATAAGAAGTCGTTTTAGTTCTCGCGTGTATAAGAAAGAACATACATACATACCTGCGTGTATGGAATTACTGTTGTGTAAACGAGGGTACCGTTAACCGAATAAAACTTTAATAGGTTCGTATATTCTAATGAATTATTTTGAGGAAGAGAATCCGAATCCTTCGTTCCCGCAATAGCTAATAACTTTCTTGAATTACTCCATTCTGCGTGTAAAGGTGTTTTTAAATTTGTACGTATAGTTATTGGTGATACGTCGTCGAAGGAACGAAGCATAACTATGTTACCATCGGCAAGGCAAACAGCTAATATGTAATTACGTTCGTCTGTTGATTATATTAAAAATATATAAATTAATTAAACTTTATATATTTGGCATGTACAAAAGATATATATATATATATATATATATATATATATATATATATCTTCTTTTCTTTTTTCTTTTTTTGAACGAATGCTTTAACGATTGTGATTTTTGTTTTGTTTTGTTTTGTTTTTTTTTTTTTTTTTTATAAAAGACAATAACAATTCATATTATAAATTTATTATTAATGCACATTTGTTTACCCCTTCTTGATCTATCGCTTGTAACATCTTCGTCACCTTCCTCCATCGTAAATTTTTCGGCACTCCAAGCCATCGAGGTAACACCCGCTGCCAATTGTACCTCCGATACCATTGCACCATGCACATCCATCACTATCAATTGTCCAGCCGTTGTTCCAAAATAAACCTATCATCATTGTGTTAATGATGAAAAATGTTTCTACCAAATGAGCACGTGCGAACGGGGTTTATTTATTTTTTTTTTTTTTTTTAAGAGAAGAGATCAATCGTACAAGTTCGAATTGCAAAAACATCGATAATACAATGAACAAATTTGAACAAATAAATATGAAAAATTTTTTGCCTGTTGATCATCCGGTGTCCAAATTCCGCAAGTTATCGTAGCTTTGTCGTTCAACATAGACGACCAATATCTTTGTCCACCAACACTACCGACCAATACGAAACCATCCTAGAAAAAAAAAGAAGAAAAGAAAAAAAAAAAAAAAAAGAAAAAAAAAAGAAATCAATTAAATCTAATCGATCGGTAATCGGTATTCTTTCTAAAAAAGACAAATTTCTCGATTGATTTCATTTCGTTCTTGAAGACATTCTCTGGTTTCATATGAAATTCAATATCTAATTCATTGTATTTCAATATGTACGATAAAATCAATTGGATAATACGATTCGATGGATATATCGATAGATAAAGTATTAATAACAAACTTGTTCGTAACTATCGTTCGAATAATGGAATAGAAATGAAAAATTTCTAGATTCTCGTACGAACTTTATTTTTGACGATTTTCAAGGGTTTTCGAAAAAAAAAACCAAACAAACAAAGGAGCAAAAGAAAATAAGAAATGAAATCAATTTAATGGTATAGAGTATAATTGATCATATATATATATATATATACTCGATAACATATAAGAGCCATTCGACCATCGTGAGACCAAGAGAAATGCGTCACAGGTGTGTTCCTATCATTTATCAATTCTATACTCCATCTTCCTTCGTATTTTATCCAAACGAAGATTACACCTGAACTGTCACATGATGCTAACTTCTGATATGGCTCGTTCCATTTCACAAATATTACCTGTAAAAAAAAAAAAGAAATATATTACAATATATGTATGTATTAATATATCAGATAAAGTAAAGTACATTAGAAATAAAAGTAAAGTATATTAGAAAATTATTAGAAACGATTGGAAGATTCAATGTCATTCATTTTGTAAAAATTATTGATCGTTATATTAATTTTAAGTGAAAGGACGACAAATCGATATTCGTCAAATAATTCGAGTTAAATATGATAACTTAAAACGTGTCAATTTTTCTTTTTTTTTCTTTTTTTTTTTTTTTTTTTTATAAAAATAAAAATGAGTGAGAGAGAGAGAGAGAGAGAGAAATAAGATAACTAAAAGGCGAATAAAAAAAAAATTATCTTGATAATAATGAGAATAAATTAAAATCTTGATAATAATGAGAATAAATTAAAATAATTTATTTTAAAAGTTCGCCTTTCTTAAACTATTAAACATATAAAAATTCCTCGAGAGAGGTGAATTTTCATTTATTTAATAATTTCATCTCTCTTTCTATACCGCACTTTATCGTCTTCGTTTTAATTTTCTTTCAATGCATTTCGATAAATGGATGAAGTATATCGAGTTCGTACTTTCCGAGAAGAATTTTTCTTTCCTTTTTCCCGTTTCTTTTTTTCTTTTTCTTTTTTTTTTTTTCATGATCGTGCCTCGTTGAAAGCAGCAGTCAAACCTAGTCGAATGATCAAAGCCGTGCTTTTTATCTCGGGATGCCATTAGAGGGATTTGTATTTTCGAGTGCTGGCCTGTTTCTTTAATGAAACCGTGTTTCAAAGATAAAAGAGTATCTGTCATTTTCATAGAAACTTGTACGAATTTATGTCTTTCTTAATTTTTTTTTTCTTTTCCCATAAAAACATAGAAAGAGAGAGAGAGAGAAAGAAATGAAAAAAAGTATATTATAACTTTGAAATAACATGTTCAAAGAAAGAGAAACTATACTCAAGAATGGCCGAGATATATAACACGAACATAATAATTAATAATAATAATAATAATAATAATAATAATAATAATAATAATAATAATAATAATAATAATAATGATAATGATAAAATAACTTTGACAAATCTTGTTTGTTTGTTTGTTTGTTTGTTTGTTTGTTTTTTTTGCGCAATTCTTTTAGAAATTTATTCCATATCGATCATTAATTTCGAGAAGATGATCTATCTCGTGTATTAAATGTAATTATCAATTACCTATTGTCAGAATAGATTAATTAATTAATTAAGTCGTTTGAAAATTCTTCCGATAGAAAAATGATCGAATATTATTAAATCGCGAAAGGGTATAGCTTTAAAATAAAATTGTTTGAAGACATTTTTTGTTTACTTTTTCTTTTTTTTTTTTTTTTTTATTTATTTTTTTTTTCTCTCTCTAATATTGTCCTTATACAATATAGGAACAAACAAGGGTTCTATTTGTAAAGAAGTACCACGAAATTCTATGGGGTTGACGAAGGGCAAGAGGAAGGGGAATGTGTAGTCAACGGGGTGTATAGTACAAGCTGGATTAATCGCACTTTGCGTGAACGTCGAATCGATGCCAGAGCATCCACTTGTCTAGTGAAAGAAGTCAACGACCGGGTATACATGAAGGGATGTAAAAGAAAGAAAAAAAAAAGAAAAAAAAAAAGATAAAAAAGAAGGGAAAAAAAATTATCGAGAATGATCAACTACGTTGACAGGTGACATAAAATTACGAGTCGGTTAAAATTTTCTTCTATTGTCGTTATTGTCGTTAAAAAGAAAGGGGGAGGGAAAAAAAAGAAAGGAAAAAAAGAAAAAGAAAGTAAACAAAGATCATAAAAATATTTTTAACGTAAAATTTTGTTGTCATACTTATGACAACGCACACGTACATACGATCGATCGTTTCAATAAAAATCAAGAACATTTATTTGCTTAACGATCGTCTCTTCACCCCGCTCACCCTCCATCCCTCACCATAGCATATAATTCCTTTATATGTCACTCAGAATAAAATTGATAAGACGTATTGTTCAATTAATTATCAACGACAAATAAATAATTTTACAGAAACCCGATGTGTTTTTTTAACTTATCAAGAGAGAGAGAGAGAGAGAGAGAGAGAGAGAGAGAGAGAGAGAAAGAAATTTTCTTTATATTTTCCATTGGTTTTCCCTTCTGACGTTCGGTTTTCTTCGTTCTCTTGTTTACCTATTGAAAATTCCCACGATATATTTTTCTCAATCGAATCGAATTCACGGTATTGTAGAAAGATAAAGAAAAGAGAGAGATAGAAAGAGAGAAATAGAGAGAGAGAGAGAGAGAGTGAGAGCACAAGTGCGCATTAGAAGTAGGTTTCACATATATTTCAGAATTTCTCAACTTTCCTCCAAAGGCTATGGATTTGCAGATTACGATAAAACGTAGCAGCAGGTGATAGGAACGATATCGCGAAGGAGATACACGAGTCTATATTTCAAAAATTGTGAAAACATGAACGACGCGTGATATATTGAAATGAAAAAGGAAAATAGAAGAGAAAGAAGGATAGTAAAATAAAGAGAGATAGATAGATAGATGGATTGAAAGAGAGAGAGAGAGAAATAGAAG